GAAAATGCTCAGTGGCACGTCGCCGTCTGCATGTGCAAAGCCCTCTGCCACCGCCTGTGCTGCATGCCAACGTTGTCGTCGAAGCTGGATGCGATGCTGACCTCGATGATGTAGGTGTTGAGAGCTGACTTCCTTGAGAGGGGAAATTCCGCAGTAAATTATCGGAGTCGTCCTGCAGGGCACTCAGCGTTCCTAGGAAGATTCGTCTGGACTTCATTTGGAGAGAGGGGGACAGGGGATGGACAGATCGAATGCCTATGTACATGAATTCTGGATGATGGGTGAAACTCAAAAATGTGGGTCATATTAGCCCCATGTTCCCGGGAGGAGGGGGCACCTTTTGGCCTTGAACCTTCACCAGGCTCTTCCGCCAGACGATCTTGATGTCCTCATCCTTGACGTGGTCGTTGCGGGCCAGGTGGAACTTGTTGGAGCCAAGTAGTTTGTCAGCAACCCGTTCTTCCAGTGTGAGGTTGTTTCGACAGAATATGGGCTTGACGTGTTCTTTCCCATTGATTTGCTTTGCCTTCTTGTAGAAGTCGAGTTTGTGGGATGCGTCCTCGAATGTGATGATCCCCATCTTCGCAGGGTTTCCGCCAGCTTCCACCTTGGCGGTGTGGCTGTCGCCCAATACTTCGGTGAGTATCGCCTCAATCTTGACGACGACGAGGTCAGGCTCCATATGTTCCTTGAAGCCTAACGCGAGCACTTGTTTGTCCCTGATGTCGGAGTCGCGCTCCTTGTGGTTTCTGAGGGTGTTGGTTTTTGCACGCTTCATGTGCTTGACCTCCTGCTGCAGTGTGGCCACAGTTTCGTTGGTCTTGTTGATCTTGCTCTCCAGGGTGGCAATTGTCAACCACGTCTGGAAGGCAGGCTGCTTCGCGGATACCGCTTCGGTCTTGGCTTCTTGAGCGATGGCAAGGCTTGCATCGACCTTCGTTCTGAGGCCTTCCATCAGGCCCTTGAGCTCCGCAAACATGTCCTCAACTCGGCCAGGTTTGGGAGTGACGTTCGGCTTCTCGTGATCATCGGGACAGTTCCTCGATTGGGCAACATGTTTCGCCATGATGCTTAGCACAGGATGCGTAGAGAGATGTTGCAAAGAAAAACGGTCCCCGGGAAGTTGACAAGGATCCCCGGTGCGACGACAAGAATGCTCCTTGAGTTAGGAGGAAGAGGAAAAGGAGGAGGAGGACGGAAGGAGGGAGGAGGTGGGGAGGAGGGAGAAGGAGAAAGAAGGAGGAGGAAGACGAAGAGAAGAAAGGAGAGGTGGGTGGGATGTGCGATTGGTGATGCTGCTCATCCGGTCTCTGGTCCTCCTGCGCCTTGTGGCAGCCCTCCGCTGAGCTATCCTCCCGACCTCCGGCCGGCCGTGCTCCAATGGTAACTAGCCCGCGATCCGCGCCAGGCACGCCCCGTGTTCGACGTCGTCGTCGTCGCCGTCGTCGCCGTCGTCGGGGAGGAGAAATGGGAGGAAGGAGGAGGACCGAGGATTGAGAAGGAGGAGGAGGAGGATCGAGGTTCGAGGAGTAGAAGGAGGAGGAAGAGGAGGAGGATGAAGAGGAGGGTGAGGAGGAGACCAACGAGAAAGAGGGAGGAAGGAGGAGGACCGAGGATGGAGGACGAGGAGGATAATCGACGTTCGAGGAAGGAGGAACGAGGGATCGAGAGCCCAGGCTCTTGGACGTGTTTGGTCGTCGTTGTGGACCTCTGGGGGCCTCCAGGGCCTTCTTCCGCCTTGATCTTCGGAGGCCTTCGGGAACCTCCTCGCAGACCTTTGGGGACCTCGCCAGACCTTACCAGACATTTGATGCCCAGATTTGTTCAATACACAGGGCCGGTTTTTATCCCAGGCAGTTTTTTGACCGTCGGCCAACAAGTCCCAAGGCCGAGAGAGCGCCCCTGGATGCCGAAAACGGCCCTAAATTTTCCCGTCGTGTTTGCGTCCGCGGCGCGAGCACCCCTGTGTTCGGGAAGGAGGGGGAGGAGGGACTCCGCCGAAGTGCTCGGCGGGGGGCCCCGCCGCACCAGCAGCTGGGCGGGCGTTCGCGCAGCTGCGGCATGTGTTCTTTCTGCTTTCAGCTGCGACGTTTTTTGGCGGGGGGCGTCGATAGGAAGGCCTCCGATATCATACGTTCGCTTTCTGCTTCATATGCTCTGGGCTCCCCAGGCCCTAGGGGACATGTTACCTTCAAGTGTGAGAATGCGATTTGAGGCCACCTGGGGTCCCTCCCAACCCTGGTTATCGCACCCGCAAGGGGGGGCAGCTGGAGAGCCGCGGCGGGCGGCTGGGGTTCGCCCCGTGCCCCCCGTGGGGCGAGCAGATGCAGCGCAGGTTCAGCCGCATCTGCACGTCGCCGACGCCGGATGTTCTTGGGGAAGGGGCGGACATCGCCGAAGACGTTGGCGATCGGAGCCCCTGGATACGTGTAGTGTGTAGTAGTCCCCCCTGGGCTATCCGCCCCTCGCTGCCGCTTGCCAAGGTCCGGCACCTTGGACGCGGGATGAGTGCACGGAGGTCGTCCCCGACAAGGCGCACATCCCACGGCCCAGGAGGAAGGGCTCGCCCGCTCGCTCAACGATGAAACGGGCCAGTGCCACTCTCAGTGAGAGAGCAACGGGAGGAGCCAGGCAGCGGGCGACCCAGCCCATCGTGCCGGTCCACGGTGAGCGGGCCTGTGCCGCCTCACGAGCTGCCTCACCCCCGCGGGGCAAGCTCGTCGTGGTGGGACGATGCCATGGGCGAGGTGCCGTGGTCACTCTAGAGGCTTCTCGACCCCGGGGGCATTGAGTTTTAGGAGAAGAAAAAGGAGGGAGGGGAGGACTGGAAGGCCTGGGCGAAGGAGACCTTGCCCCTCCACGGGGCCCTCCGCCTCGCGTCCTCGTCTCGAGCAGCTTGGCGTCGTAGCTCACGACGGCGCCGCGCCTCCTCCCTATGGGTGGCGATGCGCTCGAGCTGCGCCGGGGTGAGGGAGGGGCGGGGAGGGGGAGGCGGCACGGCGGAGGGAGCGGGGGAGGAGGGGGAACAGAAAAAGGCAGTGACTTCAGCCTCCTCATCCAATCCAGGGGATGCTAATTGTCGCGGCTCAGGTGCCGGAGTCGGATCACACCCACATGCGTCCCGTGTTTGAGTACCATACTGTGGGCTCTGGAGGCTGTCCTCGGGTTCTGCGGGTTTCTTCATGAAACGATGCATCTCTGGGTCAGCTCGTGAAATCCCTCCTTGCTTGTTGGTCCTGTGCACATAGTCTGGCGCAGGATTGAAATCATCATCAATGTGAGGCATGTAAAACTGTCGGAGGTCATTGATGAGGGAGGAGTCAATATCCTCGCCCACGATGTCTGCGTCGTTGGCGTGCGCAAAGATTCTGGAGATAGATGCTGCTATAGATTCGGCAATCCTATTACACATCTCCGAGGGGTACGTCTTTTTGGCGTGGGTTCTGAAATGTGGGGCCCGTCCCTTTCCGTCCGTCTCCTTGCCACGCAGTATCTTGTGAGCCCCTTTGGGATGATGACAGCGTCCCTTCCTCGGAGTATCTGTCAGCTTGCTGGCAAGGCATTCCATGCGCAAGCCTAGCAGCCTTGTGGGCGCACGCCCATATTCACTGTGGCAGCGTGTGGCTGGCTGATGCACGCACTGGTCAAAGTCTGCTGTGACAACGTTGGGTGCTGATGCGAGCGCTGCAAGGGGCTCCCATTGGAAACTGCTGGGAGCCTGGGAGCGCCAATAAGGGGGAATGGGATGCTCCATCCACCCCGAGGTCCCCGCAGTGACGTGGCAGCCCAAGAGGCAAGCTCGTCGAAGGAAGAGGGGCGGGGCGGCCACGCCTCGCCCCGAGGCGCCGAATTGTTGGCGGCGCCGCGCCTGGGCCTCTCGGCGCAGGCGGCGCGCGGCCTCGCGGTTCGCAGCAACCCTGGCCTGCTGCTTGCTCGGAGGAGAGGGATAGAGAAGCGGGAGGAAGGGAGGAAGGGATCGGGAAGGGGGAAGGGAGCAGGAGGAAGTTTTTGAAGGGAGGAAGGGAGGAGGGGATCGTGAAAGGGGGAGGGGGGGGTTGGGACAAGAGGAGGAAGGGAGGACGGGACCCTGAGATCCGACGCAGCGAAATAACACTTCGTGACAAATCACGACCAGAGCCCCAGACCCCATCTTTCTGCGCCACTTTTCGGGTCGGATCGATCTTTGAGGGTCCCGGGGCCCGAAACTTGGCGAAAACGTTTGGCTTGGAAAAATAGAATCGGTCGAATATCCGGAGAGTGGGGAGGTGGGGCCTCCTCCTCCTCGTCCTCCTCATCTTCCTCCTCCTCCTTCTCCTCCTGGTCCTACTAGTATTACTGTTACTACTACTACTACTACTACTACTACTACTACTACTACTACTACTACTACTACTACTACTACTACTACTACTACTACTACTACTACTACCTACTACTACTACTACTACTACTACTACTACTACTACTACTACTACTACTACTACTACTACTACTACTACTACTACTACTACTACTACTACGACTACTACTACTACTACGACAACTGCTACTACTACTACTACTACTACTACTTATACTTATACTTCTACTTTTGCTTCTACTGCTACCACCACTACTGCTATTACTATTACCACTACTACTACCACTACTACTACTACTACTACTACTACTACTACTACTACCACTACTACGACGACGACTACTACTACTACTACTGCTACTGCTGCTACTGCTTCTGCTACTACTGCTACTGCGACTGATACTGCAACTGCTACTACTACTACTACTGCTACTACTGCTACTACTACCACTACTACTACTACTGCTAGTACTACTACTACTACTACTACTACTACTACTACTACAACTACTTCTAC